TTCAACGCTGTCCTCTGTGTCGAAGACGCAGACGTTTGTTTCATTAGTCTTGTCAAAAAGTGAATATGCCACCAATAAGCCACCCGCACCTATAAATTGAAAGAATAGACTTTAAAAATTGAAGAGATTATCAAAAGAATATGCAATGTCTGACTTTCTATGAAAACATCAACACACTATCTGAAAACGTGACAGGGGTATTATCTGAATGTATTATCCTAATATGATGATAAATTCTCTTACTTCCTTAAAAAGAAATTTATGGCAAGTAGAAAAAATAGGGGGTTAAGAGACTTGAACAGTACACGTTTAAGATACTCAAGAGTAACGATCCCTTGCAGAATTTGACGCCAAACGGTGGTGTCAAGTTCTCACCTGCTCCAACTATGGCTGTGTCGCACTCTAAAATATTTCTTTGGGGGTCCATGGTCGGTGCTGCCGTTGTTGGCCCAGTAGTTGATGCAGCAGTAGCTATAACTGCGGTAGTAGTTGTTGGTTTTTCGGTGGTTGTTGGAGCAGTACTTGTTGGTTTTTCAGTGGTTGTTGGAGCAACAGTTGATGGTTCTTCGGTGGTTGTTAGAGCAGTAGTTGTTCGTTTTTCTTTTGTTGTTTTAGCAGCAGTTGATGGTTTTTCTGTGGTTGTTTTAGCAGCAATTGATGGTTTTTCCGTGGTTGTTGGAGCAGCAGTCGATGGTTTTTCTGTGGTTGTTGGAGCAGCAATTGATGGTTCCTCGGTGGTTGTTGGAGCAGTAGTTGATGGTTTTTCCGCGGTTGTTGGAGTAGCAATTGATGGTTTTTCTGTGGTTGTTAGAGCAGCAGTTGATGGTTTTTCGTCCGTTTCTTTGGTTGTGCCAGAAGATTCTGTTGGTGCTGTGGTGGAATCTTCAGTACCTGATGAAATAACAAAAAAAGTTAAAACATTTGTGTAACTTTGTTTTGTTTTTTTTTGTTTTGCTTTTTTCTAGGAAAAATTATAATAAAATAACTTTTCACTTTTTGCCCTCATTGCCAAGATAACTACAAATGACTCTGACGGCAAAAAATTTTAAGCGATGCAGTGTTTGACGCTTCATAGCCTCGTTGCGTAACGTGACGAAATTGCGTAACATGACGTCATTGCGTAACAACATAGTAACACCTCCACGAAATCTGTCAAAACTGAAAAAAAACTGATCTCAGAACTTCCCGTTAATTTTTTATTAAGATAATCGTCGAAGTGAAATATATCTATGTAGAAGTCAGCTAAAAGAATTTTTAAAATGTATTCATGAGAAACTGTTTCTTGTAGATCTTTCCCTAAGTATGCTCTTGCGTTTAGAAATGAAAATCCTCATACAAATATTGTAAAAAAATATTATCGTAGAATATTTTCAATGATGATCATGGCACAACGCAGATAGAGGAAATGTAATAGGTGAGACAAGTCACGGATTATCCTTGTCGACAAAAGTAATATCACCTGCTACATTATATTCAAACTTAATCTCCGTCCAATCGAGGTAATGTACAATT